GGGGGGGGCAGGCGGGAAGGAATGTCGTCTAGTCGCACGTAACATCGTCGGCCGACAGATAGACGAGTCTTGACATCAATCGTCACAACAGCAACAGTGTCGCTACAACGAATCGCGCGAAAGCAAGCTCAAGAAATAGCGGAGGATGGGGAGGGAGCGAACGTGTCCGAGTACACCGTTAATGCGACGCTAACGCGCGTCTCACCCCACCCAGTTGCAAGCAGGGTTGTGTAACGTCTCGAAAACATCTGGACCAACACAAAGGCAAAAGAACCTGCACGCTGCTTCAAGAAGGAACATCAAGCAACAGCAACGAACCCTCGAACGTTCCTGAACAGAACAAAATAACAGAAAATCTTACCGCTCCAGCTTGTGCTCCCACAGATTGGGGCCCAGCTCCTCGAGCATGATCTGCACCGACAGCTCGATCACGCGGTCCGACACGCCATCCGCTCCCTAGGCCATCAATCACGCGGCATGACAAGGGGCAGTCAGTCAGTCGCACGAAGATCGTCAAAGCGAGAGCTGCGGCAAGCCAAGAGCTGCCTAAAAGACAGCTGTTGAGAGCGCAAGGAGGGGTGAGCAAGAGAACGAAGGCATCACACGAGGGAAAAGCATCCCAAGACTTGAGGGGGTGACAATATACCACCGTTCTAACTCCGAAACGATGATAGGAGCGAGAGGACCACCCCCTGCTGCAACACAGCGGTGCAGATTGTTGTGCCTTTCGATCGATTTAGTTCTGCTCTTGGAATTTGGCGGCGTTCTTCCATGATTGAGCCACGGCCATCACCCAACATGCCCAAGCCACCGTAGTTCGCCCCCCACAGACAAACTTCCACGACAACAGCGGCGCTCTATCACGAGTCCCCGGCCAGCGACAATCGAGCTGCGGCATCTACCACCGTAGGACCCCCGTCATCACCAAACGAAATAATTTCTTTTGCCGCGTGTGAATTGTTTTTATTTGCCGCGTGCGTTTTTTTTTTGTTTTTCGAACGCACCTGAAAGCGGTCGCGCACGAGGCGGGCCCCGTGCAGCTCGAGGAGCGAGAACAGCTCCGTGGACCGCACCAGCGCCAGCTTCATGATCTCTCCGAGGCCGTTAATGATGTTGCGCTCATCCTGTACGAAGGCAAGAACAAGCCAAGATGACCGACGAAATAAGCAGCAGCAGCGGCAGAAGCATGGTACACGGGACGGGAGGGTTGGCGGGGCGACGACGAGACAAAAAGCTTCGACTGCTGTGGTTTTTATCGTGAAAGGGTAGTTTCGTTTGATTGACTGTAAAAATCGTTAAAAAGCTACTCATAGAAGTACAACGCAGCAACGCTCTCACTGGTTAAAATAAAAAAAAAGCAGCACTCAGTCCTACCCCAAATAACACATCCATTCCCCTGCTGGCAATGCATGCAATACAACCGTGCGCTCCTTGTGACGAAGCTCGGCTGCTGCTGCGTGCGCCTACACTCGTCGTCTCGCACACGAACCTGGGTGGCGATGAAGGACTTGTCGAGAAAGGCCCCGACCGGCGCGTAGAACGTTCCGACGCGGTTCTTCTGCGGCCCCATGGAGCACGAGCAATAGTCCACCCCGTTCTTTACGCCCACGGAGGCATCCACGAGAGCCAGCAGCGTCGTCGGCACGCGCACGAAGGGCACGCCGCGGCGGTACAGCGAGGCGGCCATGCCCACAATGTCGAGCAGCACGCCTCCGCCCACGGCGAGGATGGGCTCCCTGCGGCGGAGGCCGAAGCGGCACAGCTCCTCCAGGATGGTGTCCACGGCTTGCATGCGCTTGTTGGCCTGACCGCGGGGGGGTTGTTGTTTGTTGTTGTTGTTTCTCACATTAGCTCTATAGTCCCCAAAAAATGGGGAGCCCGTGGTCTCAAAACCCGGCACATACGACGCCGCGGGGAAACAATAGTAGGGTACAAACCACTCGGAAAAAGAAAACAAAATGATACATTGTGCAAAGGAAATAACATGTACCGCACCGACCGTTCGCCGTTCGAGAAAAGAGTCCTCGGAAACCGATCAAAATTAAACAAAAACAAAAATAAAGGGGGACGCTTTCCACACCCGCCTAAAGAAAAAATCAAAGGGTAACGTACCAGTATCCCATGCCGTAGTCGTTAGACCATTGACCTAGCATCCCTACAATGGTTTCACAAGGATGAGCCAGAAGCTGCCCATCATCCTCGCGTTTGCTGTGCTAAACCAGATGCATTGTCATGTGTGACCCAGGGGGGGGCCGAAACGGGGGCCAGATGGTCGGCATGCCATCAGAGTGTAGTGGATTTGGTGGTTTATACTGCTGTGTTCTTCTGGTCTGCTGAAAGAAGCAGATACAAGGCGCGCTCGGCTTGTCGCCGGCAACAATGACGTCCACTAGAGGCACAGTCAGCCTGTGACCTGTCTGGCCCAGGTTTTGTGGAAAACTACGAGACGCAGGCAGGCTATGCACTCGACACACATCAATCATCCATGAGCCGCCGCTACCTATGCGCCAACAAACTGGCTGCATGTGCAGTGACTTGCACACGGCAAACAAACGGCCGTCAAGCGATGCTAAAAATACGGCAAACACACACTTTTGCGTCTTGCGCTTGCCATGGTTGGATACAGCGAACAAAAGAACCGGGAAACAATTTGCTGCACAAAAACCTTTCCTGGCGCATCTTCCACATAAAAAAAATTACCCGCACCAAGGAACACACGCCAAACCTTCCATGTTTTTCAGGATGAGGTCACCACGTTTTGAGATGAAAAAAATTGCATCGCATCGTGTTTTTTGCTGTTGTTCTTGTGATGATGCAACAAAACGAGTCCATGTACATCCACTGATAAAGAGTCCAAGGAAGATATAGCTCTACATCCATAGCGTTAGCGACAACCTGTGTTTCTGCGATTCCCCAACCAGCATACACCAATGGGTAACAGGCTCTTCAAGAGAGCTTGGTGGCCATCTTGTGCATTTTCAACGTGTTGTTCGAAGGTTTGAAGAGGACGAGGCGAGGTCAACCAAAAACAAAAAGTTTGGTGGCCATGTTGTGCAATTGCGACGTGTTTCTCCAAGATTTCGAGGGCCGCAATAAAAAATCAACTCACCTCCTCGCCAGGGAGCACGACGTAGCGAACCTCCACGCCATGGTTGGCGAAGTTGGCGGACATCCTAGCGCCGTAAACCTTAGACACTGCCTCGTCTGTAGTGGCACGGATTGCAGCAACAACAGCACCAACAAGAATCATTAGTTTCGCCGCAGCAGCAGCAACCAAAAGAGAAATATGAGTGCCCGCTTGGCGAGTCTCGAATTTCTACTGCCAACATGTCAATGCCACTGAGTTGTAGAAGAAAAACGTGTGCTCTCAAAGCGTTCTGTTCCTTCATCAAAAGCAACATTACACTCCCTGGCCATTTTCAAGCCTACGAGCCTGGTACGAAATTCTGGATGCCCCCCGCCTTACGGGAGGCACAGCACCCCTACATCGAACACTAACAACCACTGCCTTATCATGCCCAACCAAACTATTCGGCAAGCGACGTTCAACGCAATGATTTAGGAAAGGGGACAGTTGCAACGCAACACGCAGAGAACCACATCGCGCCACCAAACGCCACGAATCACACCAGAAAGCGCTGCACAAGACGGGCTTGGTTGGCTAAACCTGGGTCCGCCTCCTCTGCCCGCCTCCCCTCCTCTCTTTTTCTCTCTCTTTCTCTTTGTGTGTGTCTCTCGCTTCCCACGCTTGTCTCTCTGTGTGTGTTTCTCTTCCCCAACCCCCCTTCTTTGCCTCCGTCTGTGTGTGTGTTTCTCTCTCTCTCTCTCTCTGTCTCTGTCTCCCTCTCTCTCCCTCTCCCTCTCTCTGTCTCTGTCTCGCTCTCTCTGTCTCTGTCTCTGTCTGTCTGTCTGTCTGTCTCTCTCTCTCTCT